TGTCAACACGTCGGAAGAGTTCACACCGCCAGTGCACAGTCATTCCAGGCTAATAATGAAGTCGCTCAACGGTTCCATGCATTCGATCTCATAAGAATGCATAAACTGTAGACTTGAAGTTTGTGTGCACTCAGACTCCACAACCCAGCCAACCACAGCTATGGAAGGCGGCGCAAAAACAACTGCCATGAACTGCAATGATTTGTGACTATTTTGCCTTGTTGACTCAAAACCACTTAGAGGATGTTTGCAGATCCTTCAACCGATGTTTGGTTTCAATATGTTTATAGCGACGGAGTAAAAGATAGAATGACCGTTTGGGACCGTGCGGGGATGAAGAGAGAGACCAGGATTGCACGAGGTTGCCACGCATTCAAGTGGTAGGCATACAAGTGGGAACATACCTGGGAGTAGCTGTTCAGAAGGGAATTCTGGAGAGAGACCCCGTCACTTGCCAACTCACTTAACTTGCCGGATACATGCTTTCGCTAGCTCTCTCTCTCTCTCTCTAAAGTGACCCCCGATCCAGCCAAATACAGCCAGAAATGCCGCTAAGTTCTATGGACTAAAGCTCCAAGTTCTTTGATTCTACTATATTCTACTTGACATGTGTTCTTGTTACTATGGACGCATTCTATCTTCAACAGTTAGAATGCGTGGCTCCGTCGTGCAATCCCGGTCTCTATCTTCATCCCCGCGCGGTGCCAACAGGTCATTCTATCTTTCACTCCATCGCTATAAACATATATATACAGTATATACATACATAGGGGTGACAGCAAGCTCAGCTAGCCTTGGCAAGGACAGGGAAGAAGAGTGGTTAAAACAAGGCAGGCTGTGAATAGCTGTTACTTGGTCAAATCTATGATATGCATTGCTAATGTTTGCTTCTGCATCTTTGTTTTCACCCAAAAACACATACAGTAGAATGTCTGGACTACGCACTACACAAGAAACCTGATATCAAGCCCATAGGCAAAGGAAATCATGTGTGTGTGTGTGTCTATGCTGTTTTTTTCAGATTCCGTCTTTGCTGTCTCTGCTCATGCTTCCTTCCGCAACCATCCATGTGTGATCACGTGCCTTGGTGACATGCCTGTGAGCAAAAAGACCTTGCGGATGTTTTGTATTTGCCACTGCATTTCTGAGTGAGTGCATGCGAGTACAAGCCCACTACATTCCAGCAAGCTACAGTAAGCGACAACTTTATGTGCTCAACTTGACCGACCACAAACTGAATGATTGAACATGATTAGTCAAATGCGTGTACGGCCTCAATAGCAATGGCAAACTACATTGCCCAAAATGTTGACCTATCTTTATATCCCGTAAAAAGTAAAAACGTTTATGAAATCTCTGCAGTGCTTCCATTTCAACCGCTCACTCGGTACTTGAAACCTCGTGAATTTTCGTGGATCATAACCTACTGAGCAGCATTGGCTTGAATACGTTGGCGCGAATTGCTGACAACATGGGATTCGTATCCCCATGATCTAGTTTCCGGCTTGGCTTGTTCAGGAACAATCAGCATCGTTGGCTGATCACTTTGCCTGCACACCCCAAGACCTCAGTACAGTATCATACAATTCAAGGAAGTTGATTTGAGCAAAGGAGGCATCTGAGGAAGTCAGCTGAGGGAAAAGCGAAGCTGGCTGCACTTGCACCATGGGAGAAAGTTGTCTAATCCCTGGTGTGGGTGGCAAGCTTGTCACGACCTCAATAAGCTGCCCAACATGATGCAAAGCTGGCGCAACAATTCGAATTAGTGTCAAACTGAAAAAGTTATGCTTGTTCTGCTCACCGTTTAATTTACCAAACTTTGTCAGCCTAGCTCAGCATAAATATGGTCAGTCTAGTATAATCTATATGGTATACAGTATATATAATTTGTGATGATTCTTGCCTAAAAATGCAAACCACGAAGTCTAAGTACAATGGCTGTTCGGCCAAAAGCCGCTGTCAGTCATCTATCTACGAGTGTACTCAATGAAAGACCAAACCAGTTTCTGAACCCCAGTTTTGGAACCGTAGTTTCTGAACCTGGGCTAGTTCTGAACTGGATGGTTGGAGACACATCAGTGAATAGGCCACAGTACCAATATATACATGTTCACTACTGTCAAGTGCCTCTTACCCTTCGCGATCAACAGTCTCGCAACCAACTAAGGCTGCGACGGGTTCTTGGTACACGATCGGCTGCACCCCCGATGTCCATCCTTGTTGAACTGGTGCCTTCGTCTTGTGCCGTTGCAATCTGTGCTGGTGAGCTGCTGCCAAACAGAGTTTGTTGAACAACAACTAATTTCAGCAGTTTGTTGACAGGGGAAGCAAGAATACTATTATGGCAACTCTAGGTACAGAATATACAGTCAGTATGAATTTTATCACTAGTTGTCCGTTCATCCAACTGTATAACGCCTTGCACAATGATAACATGGGATATATAACTTTAAAACACAAATCTGTTCAACATACTGGCTAGTGCTTATTCCTACATTCTGCCTTATACACTGTTCCCCTACCTTGCATTTCAAGCAGTGAGAAAACTGTTGTGCGGTTGGGACGTGATCCATGTGTTGTCATGGGTGCAGCGCAATCTAAAGCGGCAAACGATTGAACACCCATTGCAGTCGCTCCATGATTTGGGACATGTATTTTTCACACAGTTAGCTGGGCGAAACACAACGCGACAAAGCCATGCGACGACCTAATCCGATGGTGAGTAAAGGAAACCCCTGCAAAAGAAGACACTCGTGGACATCACCTGTAGCACTTGCGCAGCAAATGACAAACACTACTAGATTCACTTGCCAAAGGAATGATCTGTGTGCCTGCACTTTGATCATTTATGATCTACTTGAAACTGCTTCTGTTCATATCCCCAGCAGCTCAATGTGTGAATTAATGAGCACAAAAAGCGTTCCACAATCTGACTCCAGGTGTTTTTGCCTTTTGGTCCATTAAAGGTCGAACGCCAAACCAATCAAAGTCAGCTGAGGGGCGGATGCCAATGGATATCTACGAGGTGGATCGGCCTGAGTACCACAAATGTCAATCTGTTGGATGTGCTCAGATTGCTCAAGCTTGCTGCCATCTCAGGTGTGTATCCACTCGCTTCACCAATGACCTGTAGTTCTCCCTCACTCTCTCTCTCTCTCTCTCCCTCTCCCTCGGTCTCCGTCTCCGTCACAAGTCAGTGAAGCTAGCGCCTGCGTTGAGAGGTCGTGGGTATGGGTGTCAATCGCATCCCACAAGCGTCGATACTCCTTCGTTCTCTCCTCAATCTCCTTTCGGGGACAAAGACCTGTACAATTCTGTTTCCTCTCTCCTTCCCTCTTTCTCCCTCTTTCTCTCTCCCTCCCCCCCCTCCCTCCCTCTCTCTCTCTCTGCAGTCCTTGCGGAGCAAGCTATCGAAAATACCAAGAGTCTTTTGCACCGACTCAATCTCAGTGGCGCTGCAGGTGGGAGAGGCACGGACAGGATGGACAGGCATCCGTTCTACTTTCAGATTTCATTCTTGGTACCCCTTCTGGATTTGATCTGGGGCTGAGATGGTGGCTCGTTCTTCGAAGGAAGAGTGGTGCTTGGATCGCTCTGCCTTCTCTTGGGCGAGGAGTTCCTCAAAAAATGACAAAATCCACAAAGCAACCAATAAATACCAATGTGACAAACCAGCTAAATAAATTTTCGATCCACATTCTGCAGACACACATTCTGCATCATTCTGCACAGCTGATGCCACCTGTCTATTCTGGTTGCGGCTCTACTTTCAACCCTTCCACGCTTGGTACATACTTAGCCAAATAAATTGCAACCTACTTTTGACGCTCCCCATCCTCAATGGCACCACGAGCGGCTTTCTCCTTGTGAACGAGGTCATGAAGCATTCCGTGGTGCCTCAAACAAATTCCACTGCATACTATCCGAGAGGAGGAACGTACGAACCGTGAAACATCGTGAAAACCACATTCGGTGAGAAAGCAAAACATTGAAAACATACATACTTTGCGTTTTTCAACCTTTGGTGTTCTGCATGGGCCATGCATTTGGCATAAGCATAGTCTTCTTATCATGGCGCAACGTCGGATTGAATCAGAAACCGCGTGAAAGGCAGAAGTGAAATTTGTTGATAAACCAAATTGAGGATGACAGGAGACTTCTTTGAATGACAAAATAGCCTCTTTGACTTGGAACCATGTGGTGTCTTGCAAAGTCTGAGCCCACCACTGCTCACGAGCTTTACGTTCCTTTTGAATGACCTCATGGATGTCCCTGTGACGGCCCTGCAACAACGATTGACAAACCAGAAACTTTCAAAGCAACTCGAGGCCGACGAAAAATTCAACACCTCATTGGCAGCTCGTTCTCGGCCAAGCAATTCTTGGTGATGTTCGTGTTGTTTGTCCTTGGTCACCAGGCACACGTGTCTGACTGTTAAACGGTTTTGCCGTTCGCCAGTATGACGGTCCGGATTGTTGTTTCAATGCTTAGGGCTGCTCTCTGGCCTCTTTCTCCCTGCCAACCAGTTCCTGGATGTGGGCATGATGTTGGTCTCGTGCTGCCTGTTTGATCAACCGGAAAAAGGTGCACAAGTTGCAAGTTGATCAAGTTGCACACTCGAATGTGTGTGTGTGTGTGTGTCACACTCCGTCCCGAGGAGTTTTTTGTTTTTGTCAAGTGCAGGGGGCTATAGCGGCCCATTTCTCAACGCTAGCCAACGAAGCTAGAGAGATGGGTGGATGAGTCTGTGGACGCACAGACTTGCACCTGCAAAAGAAACTTTTGATCACGCTGTCCACTCCTCTGGTTTGATGCCATGGTGTTTCGCATGATACACCCCAAAACCTTTCCCCACCGCCGACTGGCAGCCGCGTTGAGCGTCAGATCGTTCTCGAGTGCATTTGCAAACAACGTTGAATCATTCATTTCCGCGGACTCTGCCACCTTACGTTTCCATCGTCCATTTCACTGAGGAACAGAGTTAACTGCAAACCCATTGTCTAAGTGTGTGCCGCTCTGTCGTCCCACTGGGTACAGAGTGCGATCCTCTCGCAAGAGAGGCGCCGAAGTCATAGTAAATCAGCTGTCTCTGCATGCGTTGGATTATCTTTTCTGATTTGAATTGAATGTTTCACCCAATGAACTTCCTGCCGCAACACTGCCGAGCTTACGGAGATTCGATAACCGCTGGGTTTACGGAGTTTCTTGCCAGAGCTTTCAAGGTTCGAGTACCATGCAGCTGACCTTTTCCACTTTTCCAATTTCCATTTCCATGAACTGTCACATGTTGGACTTTTGACTTTCACAATTTCTTCAACTTGTTCCATGCGCCCCCACTCCGTTTGCGATGGATTTTTAAAACCTCTCAGCTACCCACATTTCACCTTCTTTCACTGTTATCCAGTGACCTTTTGCCTGGCGCCGATTCTTCGTGCTGCCGCCGCCGCTCGCGCTGCTGCCGACGACAACAGTGACTTGAGAGCTCAGCAGCGTGCAATTCCCTTGGCCATATCCATACCCACCACAACCTCAGCCCCAGGCGATGCCTGTTCTTCCCACCGCAACCTACACCGTGCCATCCTTTTCCCACGATGCAACATTCCACATGGCCTCCACATCCTTCTTTTCCAACACCACCAGCCACCTTTCCGCAGCCACGTCAACACTCTCCACCAGCGCCCGTCTTTCCAATTATCTTACAGCTTTCCCACCACCTTACCGCCACAAGAGCTTTGTCATCCTATTTCTCAACCACCACTCACGCAACCAACAGCCACCGCTCCATCACATCCACCTCCACAACCACCTCCAGCCACCTCCGCTCCACCACCAGCTCCCGCTCCCCAACCTGCCACACTCACCTGGGATCCTCACCAAGGAGTCTGGCAGCCACATCCTTTTTCAGCTTCACCAGTGAATCCATCCAAACCTCCCAACCGCCGCTCCGGCGGTCGGGTCCACCGTCGCGGACCCCAACCAGCCCACCGGCCCGGAACAGACAGCACAAGGTTCCACCACAAAGGGACACGCAGCAATCGACTGCAAACGGTTTAAGATGGCTCTGAATGGCAAACTGTGCGTCTGATCTTTCACAGCTGGCCATATACATCAATCGCCCAACAATGCTTCTGAACTTGGCGATCTCCTCTGGTGAAGTGGTGGTGAGTTGTCTTTCTTTGCGAAGTTCTGGTGGGCGTTTTCTGGTATGACTTGCTGAACAGGTCAAGCTCCTTCTCCAGGCCATAGTATTGTTTTCGGTCGCGTCTGATATCGCAGCGCTCCCCTCTAATTTTGAGCTGTCTCTTGTGATGTAGGAACTTCTCTCCTGCGGCAAACGGCCCCTTCGCTTCCACCTTCCACTTCTTCTTATCCTTCAAGAATAGCACAAACTCCTGAAGGATCTGAGGCGTTCCCACCACGAAGACATCGTCTACGTGTACAGTCATGTACACGTTGCCTTGAAAACATCTGGAACGATTGCGATGCAGCTGTTCTCCG